GAACTGAATATGAACAATTGGGGGCTAAGCGTGTGGGGGAGACCGAGAGCCGGATATGGGCGGACGAGATGGGGGCCAAATGCTGTATAAGAAAAGGCAGGACGGAAACTGGTATTAGCCTCTCCGGTACCCACGACCGTGTCTTGTGAATCTGGGAGCGGAGGAGGGGCAATGTCCAATATTTTCCAGCGTAGAGGAACCTAGGTCGGGGTGTGCAATAACCACACCTAGGTCAGGATTTCAAACGAATGTTATCGCTTGCCCAACGACTCTCGGCGCTGAAGCTCGTCAAGAGATTGTCCTCCATCAGTTGGAAAACCAGCAAGGAAAGAATTAGAACTCGAAGGATTGAAAAACTGACGACCCGGGGAAAATGGCTCCACGGAGTCGCTATCGGTATGTCGTTTGTCATCTGGAAAATCCGGCGGTTCAGTAGGCGTGCGGTACCCGGTGGAGTTTTCACAATTTCGCCCAGAGCCTGGAGATAGGGAAGGTGGGCCGGAGGATGGAAGGAAAATCTTTGGGGGTGGCAATCAAGTGTGAGGATAGGGGCCATGAGGCTACAGCTGTGTGAAATGCGAGTATGAAAGGGGGGTGAAGAGATCTTTCGTGCACCTGTTCAAGAACGGAGGTGAGGGCCTGTCGTGTCGCATCTGTTTGGTAAAGCGAAGGTATCATATCAGTAAGTCAGCGGGCTTTACCAATGGATGCGGCTACAGAATGCGGCATGCGCAGCCCAATCCTGTGTTGATAATTGCCTATCGAATTCTGTGGCATGGTGCATGCGCTGGGCTTGCGGGGCCTGCTGTGTGGCTGTTCCGGCGCCGGTATTGGTTCCGATAAGCTCCTGCCTCGCTAAAACACGCCGGCGGTGTGTACACTTTCGGTCGATCTCCGTCTGCCGGTACCGGCACTGATCCGTACTGCCCCGGGAGTGCATCGCGCTTGCTAGTATGGCACTACCGTACGTAGGCAGAAATAATTTGTTCCTATCATCCCCGAGTTTTTCTAAAATGGGCTCCTGGGAAGGGCGATCGGCGTCCGGTGATTATGAGGGTTGATTGGTCATGGCGGTGCCATGGATGTCCGTCCACATAAAAGACCGATGGAGACAAGAGAATCCGCCGCGACACGCGTGTGTCTATCGAAATCGTCGTCTGCGGGCTACTGGTAGTGGAGGCCCTGGAGGGACTTGTTTGTGTCGGACGAAATTGTTCCTAATTTTCTATCGACACAACCGCGCATAATCCCCTACTCCGGCAGACTTTGTGCTAAGTGGCTTAGGATCAAACACTCCTTTATACCGCGCTGGAGAACCCACACCCTACCCGCACCGTACTGGACCGGGATATTATACCCCTAGCTCAAGCAGTAGGATTTAAAGGGTGTAGTACACGAGTAAGTGCAGATTAGACTGTACAGTACTCGGAGGGCCAAGTCGAAGTTGGACACCCAGATACTGGTAGAGAGGAGATCGCCAGACCAATCACGAGCCCATGCCGGGCAACGCCATCCCTAATACTGTATTGTAGAAGAAAGAAGTAAAATGTGGCCTTGCACACTTTGTTGCTGAGTACTCGTACATGAGTTAGCAAACCAGCACATACCCAGGGAACCAGAGATATGGTCACCCAAATCATGTACTCATATTAACGAATATCATCCTTTGAACCTTCTCACAAACCACCGAGTACTTTTAGCCAAGAACATCTCGAGAGGAAGAGCTCCCTATGTCTCTACAAACGCCAGCCTGGCACTATACTCTACCGCTTACTATCTAGGATACATATAGAATCGGACTGCTCTGCCCACCGCCCCGGGGACACCCATTGATTGGCCCGGCGATCGGTAACTTCTCGGGTGTCCAACTTCAACTCGGCTACCACAGTAGGTGTTTTCAAAGTTAAAAACATGATTTTTCAGTAATGAGTAAACGCCGGAAGTTGCATAAGCTTACTTTCTGGTATCAGCCAATAGCATCCTCATGTTCCAGGTACCATATTTGAGAGTCCTGGGGTAACCGAAGGCAAAGTAAAAGTACCCTACCAAATCGTTCCGTACGATGCCCTTTTTACACCAAAAACATGTATTTTTACCCCCTCTTTAGGCACCATCAATGTCTATGAAAATCTGCCAAAATCTCATGCTACATTATCAAAACCCAGGATAACATGTAAAACTTTGCAGAGCTCTCAAAACCTATAAAATTGTGGAGATAGCATGAGCCAAGTGCATGGTATGTGGTTGCCATGTACCTTTTTCTATGGAGCCCCATACAAAATATTAAGTCACTTTTGGACTGGGTGATACCATTGTATGCCATTGACTCAATTTCATCATTTTTTATTCATGCTTCTATGAGAGTAAGGCCAAAGTGATTTCCTACCCAATAGCAAAAATTTAGTTGTTTTTAACAAGGCAGTGGTGAGTACCGTGGCCCTGAAAATGTTGATTTTTGGCCATATTTGGTGTAAAAACTCATGTCGTACGGAACGATTTGGTAGGGTACTTTACAAAGGGTATGGTAAATCTTACAGAGATAGTAAGAAACCTGTTTATGTCAACAAAATATCAAAAGTTGGAAGATTTTTATCAGTAAGAGTACATAATTATTCCTGGGATGTGCTATGGTATTTTTTAAAATTGGTTTTTGATTTTTTTAAATTTCTTTTTTACACCATGTCTGATTTTAAAGAGTTGGTAAAGCTGTGTAAAACCAGGACCAGTATCCGTTACCGACCTCCAGACCTCCGTCTCTACCCTATGGTATGGTAAAGTTAAGTAACAGTAAATTAACCATTTCTGTGCATGCCAAGTTTACATAAAACAGCAAAGTAAGCTAAATTTTCGCTACCCTTTTAACTTTGAAAACCCCTAGTATGGTACGGTAGCGTACGGTACACTACCGTAGCTTCCCTCCTGAGTGCGACGTGAACAATAGTCCGCGACGCTTTCCCAAGCAAAGTGGGAGCTGCAGCAGGCACATTACCCGATTACGCGCAAAGTGCTTACACTAAAACCTAGGTAGGGATTTAAACTCGATCGTTACTAAAAACGCGAGCACGCAAGCTGATCTGCTCGCGAAACGGTTGGCATGCAGCTGCGCTGATAGAGGCAGGGCATGCAGCTGCCCTTCTTGTGTGTAAGCGCCGGCGTGTGGGAGCCCCGCTCATGGTGGACTTAAAAGAAAGATTCGTCTAAATACCGCCAATACCCCCCAGCTGCTGTATTCCGCCAGTCCATTAAATCTACGGCCAAAAAATCATAACTCTAAAGCGAGCGAAGCTTCAGCGGCCACCTACCTTAGGATCGAACCCCGGCTTGTGTTTATCCATCGCTTATAAAAAATAGCGAGCTATAATAACTTCATCTTCGCACTTCCACTCTCAGATCTGCAACAGCTGCGACGAAGAAAATGGCAGAGCCCATCTCGTTGACTGCCAGCGTCTTGGCTCTGATCCATCTCGGCGTGAAGGTTTACAAGCTTTGCGATGACTACTGCGATGTGGTCAAGGAGAGCGAGCAAGATTTCAAGAAACTGAGAGATGAGATTCAGGGTTTCGACCAACAGCTAAGGGAAATACAAACTCTTGCTGAACAAGGCGATGAGAACAACCCGCAGTACCCGGAGCTTCTTGAATGGGTCAATAACAAAAATTTGAAGGAGTATACCGAAGCCCTGAAAGAGCTTGAGGCCAAGTTGGATGTTCCTGGATGGAGGAAATCCTCGCGGAAGTTCCTTTGGCCTTTCCGCAAACCGAAAATGGAGCGTTACTTGGGCTTGGTTGGAGAGCAGAGATCGGAACTTAATCTATTGCTAACCACAGCCACCACGTAGGTTATCCATATTTCAGTCCCCTAAGAATCAAACTTCTCCGCTTCATTTTCGTTTGGTAGAAAGACTAACCAGTTGTTTAGGAAGACGGTAACTAAGGTGTTGCAAAAACAAGATGGTACTTGGTCACATTATCCCTAACCCTGACAATTTTCCTCATTACTAATACCAGATATTCCTAAACAACTAGAGAAGGAATTCCGAGAAGTACAGAGGTGGCTCAACGTCGTTGATCCGGGCTCCAATTATTCATCCGCGCTAGCTGTTCGTGAACCCGGTACTGGAGGTTGGCTGCTGGAGGGACCAGAGTACATCGATTGGAAGGGAGGCAGAGGGGGAGTTATCTGGCTCCATGGTATACGTATGTCTAGAGAGGGGTAGAACCTTATGCTTCGAAGAATTTCTCTAATATCTGTGTCCTCTAGCCGGATGTGGCAAGAGTGTACTGAGGTGCGCACTTAACCGGGTATCCGGAAGTTCAATATAATTTCTCTATTGCTAACTCACTCTTTTAGTGCTACAGCCATTGAAGATGTCCGAGTTCTGTGCAACACAAACGATGATTACGCATTAGCTTATTTCTACTTCACTTTTAGCGACTCCGAGAAGCAGAAATTGTCCAATATGCTTCTATCCCTCATTGGCCAACTTCCAAAAAGACTTTCAGACCAGGGTTTGCCGGCCGGGGTTGTCGACCTGTATAATAACACCAAGGCAATTGGAAAGTCGGCGGATACCAAGGATCTGAAAGATCTGTTGTCGCAGATAATAAAGGGTTTTAGGAAGACATTTATCATTTTGGATGCCTTGGACGAAGTTCCCAAGTCCAAGCGGAAGGACCTCCTGTTCTGGCTCAACGAGCTAACTACCGATCACAATCCGGAATCGCTTTCCATTCTCATGACTAGCCGTCCCGAGGCCGATATAGTAAGATCCCTGGAACCTATTACCACTCTCGCAATACCCCTGCAATCCAAAACCATCGATCCAGATATCCGGTTCTATATCCGGAACTCTCTAGATAGCAAGGATGAATTCCTGGAATTCACTAAAGAGATAAAGAGCGAGATAGAGGAAACACTAGTTACGGGTTCACAGGGAATGTAGGTTATGCTCAACTTTTGAGCCTTCAACTTGCACTAATATAAGTTTGGGAAAATTTAGGTTTAGATGGGTTGATTGTCTTTTACGAATTCTACAAACATGTATAGCGCCGGACGACGTAAGAGCCGCATTGAAGAAATTGCCTAAAGACTTGGATTCTGTCTATACGAGGATCCTGGAGAGCATCGATGAGATGCAGAGGGTATACATTCAGCGAGCGATGCATTGGCTCACATTCTCGGTGGAGCCATTGACATTGAGTCAGCTTGCAGAGGCTGTTCGGATCGAGTACGACGTTGACAAATATGGCGAGGACTCTAAACCACTCTTCAACATGAGCTCCCTGATGAGCATTTGCCCAAGTCTTATTTCCTTCGAAGATGCCAGGAATGGCCAATCCGCCTCCCAGGAAGACCGCAGATTGCGACTAGCACATTTCTCGGTAAAGGAATATTTGATCTCCGAACGGGCAGCTCAAGGCCCTGGTGCCTACTGTCATATTTCGGAGGACAAAGCCAATTTCCTGATGGGCCATGCTTGCCTCAGTCGAATACTGTGGCATAATGCACCGGCGACTGTACAGGAGGGCAAAGTTGAAGAAACTTCGTTTCTCTACCACAGCTCGCGCTACTGGTTCAGGTATATTGGATCTATTGAGGATACAGCACCCACTCAACTCTCCAATGCCGCATTGAAGGTCCTAGAGCTTGGCAAGGGCTGGTTAGATGTATATGACCCCGACTGTCCTTACCGAGATCCGCTAGTACTGCCAGGTTCCAGAGTTTACCCACCAGCTCTCTACTACTCCTCCCTGTTAAATTTAGTGACTACCTGTAAATTACTAGTTAGTAGAACCGAGGATGCAGTAAACGTGAATGCTCAGGGTGGCGAGTATGGCAATGCACTACAGGCAGCTGCAATACGGGGAAACGAATCGGTTGCACGGGTTCTCCTCGAGCATGGGGCAGAGGTGAATGCTCAGGGTGGCGCGTGTGGCAATGCACTACAAGCCGCTGCGTACGGGGGAAACGAATCGGTTGTGTC